TTCTCTTTGGTCAAATTAAAATAAATGAATGAATAAATAAAATTAAATAAATTTTAAAAACTACATAAAAAATTTTCTCGAAAGATGTAAATGAAGAAATTGGGGTCAAAGAGAAAGTCATCTCCAATGGGATAAATAGAATTCTCTCTGTGATCCACAGGTTTCAAAAATTTTAGCAAACCAGTTATCCAGAAACACATATGCTCTTACTGCAGAGACTGCCTGGGCCCTCCTGTAGGGGGCATAGTGGAGCACAGCCCACCATCCTTACCATGGCTGCTGCATCCCAGCTTATTAGATTGTCTTCCAGTAGCAGACATGGGAATAATGCTAGAGCTCACTGCAGTAACAGCAATTATTCAGTGTCGTAACAATCGGTGTCAGTAATCTAGACATCATCTACAACTGGTAGGCGACCTTTTGCAATTTTGCTATGAATAGGATTTTGATGAGTGAGGAAAGCAATGAGCTAGGAATTTCAATTACTGCACACAGATCTACTATTGGTGGTTCAGTGAGGTGAGAGGAGAATCGTCAGGGACCCTGCCAACGAGAAGTTACTCCCATCATAACCTAATGTCCCAGCAAACTCTTCCTATCTCACTATTTTTCCTTTTCTGGTACATTCTTTTGAAATGTGGTTCTTGACTTGAGCCAGTCTGAGGAAAAAGTGATTGATTATTTTGGATCAATCCTTTCTAGAAAGCCCAAGGGAAACATGACAACTGCCGAACTCAAGAGATTCAAGTCTCCTATTGTTAGGATATGTTTGTATTATCAATGCCTGAAACTCAAATGCAGATGACTTGTTTTCTAGCTTCCAAGATAAACTTTTTAGCCTTTACCACATGCCAAGCACTTTTTTAAGCACTGTGTATGGATAGTTCTTTTAATCATCATCGTTATCCTGCTAGAAAAGTATTCTCTTTTCTTCCCCCATGGATGAGGTTTTGAGGGTAAAGGGGAACGTCAATGGCGATCCAAGGATTATACATCTGACTAATCTCCAACGAAGCCAGAATGTAAACCAGGCTAAGCTACATTGCTTTTGCAACTCTTCAAGTGGCTTGGAAATCTGTCTCCTAGACTCCATATGCAGGTTGATAGGTTTAATGTATGACTTCCTAGTAGTCAAGAGCTATGTAATAATATATCTTTTTGACATCATTTAATTCTGCTGATACAGCATCTAACATACAGTATATATCAACAAATATTTGTTGAATTGAACTGGCTTATCCTGCTTTGAGCAATTCTTTGTCACTTTGTCTTCTGTAATACCATACTCCTGGCTTCGCTAGCCCTCCCTGAAAATTGTCTTCTCTTCTGCCAGTTCCATATATTGGAGCATACCTCATTATTCCATCACAGGCCAATTCTCTTCTTCCTGGACCCTTGTCCAGCCTCCTTGGTGTTCTTAGCTCTCCAATTCTAGACTACAAGCTGATGCATCACAAATATGTATTTGCAGCCCAGTTTCACTACTAAGACTCACTCACATGGTCAACCCTCTGCTGGAATTGTATGTCTCTCCCATACACTAAAAATCAAACTGTCCAAAATTTAATTCATTGTGTCCTCAAGTCACTTCCAAAACTGCTTCTCCTCCATTTATTCTCTCAGTTAATGATATCATGGTCTGAAAAGCTGCCCAAGTCAGAAAACTGGGAATCTTTTGACTTCTTTCTCCTGCTACCTCTCATATGTAGTTATTCACCAATCCTTATTGTTTCCACATTTTAAAGAGCCCAAACTTGTCTACTTCTCATCATCCCCATCCCCATGGCCTTCACTGAGTTCCAGACTACTATTGACTTGCCCTTGAGTTAAGAGAATCTTGTGAGGACAAGCTGAATGTCATTCTTTCATGGAGTCCTTGGAATAGAAATCCTTACCTTGCATTCTCCTTCATATTTTTATTTTTCAGAGTGCCTCCAACATTCTGCACTACCTTCAGCAGTTCTCTTTCACATTTCCACCTGTTCTATTCCCAGTTCTTCCTTTTTTTTTTTTTTTTTCTTTTTGTTATAGAGTTCAAGCTCTTGCCAGAGAGAGAGAGGAACAGGCAGGAAAAGGGAGAAATCATTCATTCTCAGGGGGGACGGCCATGATGCAATACCTTTTCCTACATTCTTCTCTTGGGATTTTGGGTAGGCATGCATACACACTTGATAAATTTCCAAGCCTGTGGATCCAGGACTCAAACCGGGTAGCCACCCATGTGGGATCCAGCCACCTTTCCCTCCACACCACCTGGCTGACTCTCCTTCCTTGCTTCTTACCTCCTGTGCTTGCTTCTGCTTCTCCTTTTTGTTCCACCCCTAACCTGTTTTACTAATTCCTATCATCCTTCAGGCCTGGTTGATGTCTTCCTCTAGGAAACGTTCTCTGAGTTTTCATAACTTAGTTACGCTTCCCTCTTTTAGAATCCCACAACAAACTGAATTTCTCTGTCATAGCAGTTACCACTTTGTAAAGAAGTTATGTTTTTACTGTTGCAAGGGAAGGAAAAAAAAACTGCAAAAACAAGTGGTTTTGCTTATTTATCTTTAGTACAAGTTCACTAATCCTTAATGAAAGAGCCAAGAAGGGGGTCATGCCAGTGATTGGGATTTCACGCAATTATTCAAGATCCTAGGCTGCCAGCAACTCTGTTACTTTTGCATTGTGACTTCTCGTCTCCCTGCATGACATCTGAATAATACCTGAGAAAAGGTCATGAAGGATTATTTATGGGAAGTCTTATAGACCAGGTCTTAAAATAACAGATATCATTCCCACTTACATTCAGTTGATTAGAACTCAGCACATGGTCACACCCCTACTGCAAACGAATCTAGAGAAGGTATTAGGTTATCAGGAAAGTCATGACATATTTTTCTATGCAGAAATGCATCATGATTTCCCAACAACCCAATAGTTTTTCTGTGCCAAAGGAGAGGCAGGTCTGCTGATCATTCAGTAATCTGCTACACTGATCTTGGTCCTTACTAAGCTGTAAAATCTGTGAGGGCAGGAGTGAAGTTCGTCTTACTCTCCACTCATCCCTTATTCTAGGACACAGTAGGTGCTCAGTAGTATTTGTTGGATAAATAAAGCTGTGCATACCCTGTCTTTAAAAATGTTTTTCTTGGGGCCTGAAAGACATAAAGGCACCGGGTCCCACATGGCTAGCTTTGCAATTTGAATCCCAGACTCAGTGGCTAGATAATCACACCAGCCATGTGTGCATGCATGCTCAAAATCCCAAGAAGAAAATGGAGGAGAAAGGATTGTGGTATGACCACAATCTCACATCCTCTCCCTCTCTGTTGTGAACACACATGCCCTAGAGCAAAAACAAACAAGCAAAAAATAAAAATTTTAAAATGTATCTTATCCCAATGCTGGCTACCCATTTGAATTTGTCATGCAACATCTTTGAGGCAGCTTCTCCCCCATATCTGTCTTGCTGGAGCCATGGTATAATAAGTGTCTCTTTGCAGTTCAGCAATAGACTACATTGTAGAAATTATTATTGTTGGTCTCCTCTATATGTGAACTACTTGTAGATACATAGACCGTGATGTCAATTTATTTATTTACTGTACATATCTTTTTCACAGATTTAATTATCTACATTCTCTATTTAAGGCAGGAACTTCCCCAAAATTGAGGTCTATTCATTAGTAATTAGAGCTTAAGCATGTGTGAGTATATTAGCCAATATGCTGTAAGGACATTGACAAGGATAGTGTACACAGTATACAACATTCTCCTTATGGCAATCTGGGAAAAATTATTTTTAATCACAATAAAAAATAGTTATTTCTTTTGAAAATTACCTGCTTTATTTTATGAAGACCATCAACATCACAAGCATATGCTTTTATTTCTTAGTATCTGCTACTAGAAAGTTTAGACCAAGTGGGCCCATTTCCACTAAGAGTATAGGACACCAGCAAATGCATTTTGTGTACTCTCCCCATGTAGGTTCTAACAGGGCTCAACTATATTTCTATCTATATTTTCTTTTCTCTTATTTCTCCTTTCTAGTCACTGCTTTTTATCTTCTTTTATCGCATATCCATAAGCCGTATTAATATATATTTTTGGAAGAAAGGAGAAATGCACACAAATAAAATATAGCAAAAATTTGTCTTTCCAAGAGACATAAACATGATTTCAACTGAGTGTGACCGGATGTTTTTCTGCTTCTTTAATATGCCATACTTCATCTCCACAGATATTTCCAAATGATTATGAACTCAGCTTTTATTTCGGAGACTAGGGAGGTAGAAAAGAATGTGAAATGCTAGATTATAAATATGGCAACGATATTGCAAGCTAAGAATTGGAGTAAATGTGCAATCATACTGGGTGTGTGAAGCTACGATATACTATTCTGAAAATTCACCAGAAGGTAGATTCCATGAACTTGTCCTCAGGGTTTATCGCTATATCCCAAACATGTAGACTAGAGCCTGGTACTCAGCAGAGTCTTAGATAATAGATGTATTTTGCAAGTGTGAATATAATCATTTGGAGTTAGGAGAACTGGGCTGATTAACAGGAAAGAAATGAGGTTGAATATTGGTTATATAACTACAAGTCTGTACCTTTGGATTCAGTTTCATCATTTATCAAAGGAGATTATTAGACTACGTATCCACTGAGATTCTTTCCAACTCAAATGTTCCATGCTCTTGTTAAACTCATGAATGCAATTTGGAAATTTTGTTTTCTTTTTCTTTTCCTTTTTTTTTTTTTTTTTTTGCTATAGGGTGTGTGCATTTGCCAGAAAGACAGAGAGAGACAGAGAGACAGAAAGCGGGAAATCACCCCCCCCGGCTGCAATCTCTTCTGCGTTCTCCTCTCAGGATCTAGGGCATGCAAGCACAAGTGTCTGGCATGAATTTAAGCCACCGCGTCTGGGACTCAAACCGCAGTCGACCACATGGGAGTCCAGCGACGTAGCCATTAGGCTAACTGCTGGTCCCGAAATTTTGTTTTCAAAATAGGATATCCAGTTACAACTTCTATGGCACTGGTGGATGTGAGCACATCGAGGCCAGATGACGCCTCTCCAAGTGAGTATGGTAAGGCTGTCTGCTTATGATTCTAAAAAAGCTACATGCTCATCAGTTTTACTACAGCTTCTGTAATGTTGAGGTTTGAGCAAAGGCTATGTTGAGATTTTTGTTTTGAGTTACTCTATGGTGACTGTATATTGATGTGACAATTCTTCTTAAGAAAAGTTCTGGTGAATTGTTATTATATTGTACCTTTCATTTGTCAAGAGATTTTAAGGTAACATTAATCTTCACAATACTCCCAATGATCTCAATTGGTGATAAGAAGATAAAAAGAAGGCAAATCAGTGACAAGTTAACATTAAACTACAGAGGTTTTGTTTAATATGTGAGCTAGTGTTCCTGCATAAGGAAACACATTTTCAATTTCAGCTTTCCCCAAAGTCAAATAGATTACAGATTCAGTGCATCAAAGCAATGTTAAATTATAGCTTTATAAAAAAAAAAATTGGATTTTGAAAATTATTTTGTCTTTCAGCCAGCAATTTCAATGTGACTACTCAAGGATTCCGCTCTTTTTTTTTCCTGGACCTCCAGTGGGACAGATCCTCAAAAATGTTAAGTATAAACATGGGTCCCTGAGAGTCCTGCAGGCTTCATTCATTCATTCAACACATATGAATATATTGAATAACTATTATGTGCTTTGTTCATGATCATATTCACAAATATTTACGAAAATCGACCATATTTGAAGCATTGCTGGAAACACATCTGTGAGCAAAACAGCGCTATGCTCCAAATTCTGGCAGAGAGGGAGCCGAATGGCAATGAGTGACACAGGGAAAAGAAAGCAGCGGAGGGAGACAGTGAGAATCAAGGGTGAGGGTGTGATGCCATTTTAAAAATTTTGTGGAGCACAGAAATGGTTTATTCCCTGTGGATGATAACATGTATAGTATTCTCGACTAGATGGCTCTGATGTGTATTTCATGGGTAAATTCCCTTTACAAGCTAAATGATGGACAGTAATGGAATGTATAAAAATAATAATAATTTAAAAAATAAATTAGGTGGACTTGAAAGGTCTTAGTAAAGAATGTGACATCTAAGCAAAGAGATAACTGGTGAGGCTGAAAGAGCAAGCCA